AAAAAGACCTACCTAATTATCATATTGTTACCTAATTATTCCAGAACAAAATAGAGTGAGAACTTTTATTGGGTTAGATCCGGGCCAGGGAACTATATTATCTTGCAAATCAAGTTTCTGACTATCTCTACTATCTCATTAAATAAGAGAAGGTGTAACAACAAATTTAAGTATTGAATGTGACTTTTCTTGCCAATTTTCCCCCCTCAACTGTTTATGCTGTTGGGTTAGCCCATCTGGTTTTCATTTGAGAAGAGAAATCATAAATCCCACAAACCATGCACAGACTCCTAAACCTAGCAAAGACTGGCATTACTTTAGCAGCATAATGTTTTTCTTTCCTCGGGTAGAAATAGATGTGCAGCTTTCTAGTGGATTAAAAAAGACAATTGAGAAATTCCCTATTATCCACATGTATAGTATCTTAATTTCCTGGTATAATAGCAAGCCTACGAACATAATTAATTATGTTTTAAATGCAAATTGTCGACAACGGCTCATCTGGTTGAAATTATTTAAGCCACATTAAGAAAGACCTGCTCTCTAATACTTGAACTTATTTTTGTAAAAAAAAATAATAATTCCATATCCTCTCTTAGGCTCAGCAATCTCTTAAAAATTTCACATAGTACTCAAAGCACCTTCATAGCAACCCCAGAGAGACAACTAGACAAATACAACTGATTTATATGCAGATTTCAACCTATTTACCACACTTAGTAGTAAGAGACAAAATATTATATGCAGAATGCGTTCATTTAAATTTTTGATCAGATCTTTCTGCTGCTTGACGGAGCAGGCACGTTCCAGGAACAAGTACATTTCAGAATAGAAGTCTCGAGCCAAGTTGATCTGTAATGAGAGACCCGCACAACAGTCTAGCTAGATGATCCATTAGTTTCACTCATCTTGATTGACAAGTATCGCTGCAAGGTGTATCAATCCTGAAATTTCCACAGTGAGCACTAAACTGGCTGAGATAATGACATCTCTCCAAGTCACAGTGCCGTGGCACCCACAGAGGTCACCTTGCCCTGCGCTTCTAAGACATCTGTTACATATGATATAGAAGATGAAGGAGGAACACACACACCAGTTAACGTCACAGTTGCGCTTGTACAGCGCTACACCTTAAAACAAACACAGCTGGCCGGGCGGTGGTGGTGCACACCTTTAATCCCAGCTCTCGGGAGGCAGAGCCAGGTGGATCTCTGTGAGTTCGAGGCCAGCCTGGGCTACAGAGTGAGTCCAGGACAGGCACAAAGCTACACAGAGAAACCCTATCTTGGGAGGGGGAGGGGAAGGGACAAAAAGAAAAAGAAAAGAAAAAAACACAACTAGTACAACAAACAAACAGGTGATGTGTGTTATTAGAAAAAGCTTAGGTAGCTGATTAAAATCATGAGCCAATTAGAGAAAAATATTAAGGACCAGGGCAGGTATCAGATGGGATTGATAAGCATCTTGACAGCTGTGGACATGAATTACTAAAATCTAGAAAACAGTTTCCTAGTCCAAAACATATTTTTGAAATAGTTTTTTTTATCACTGGATACTAATTATACATTATGTTATTTTCGTAAGTGTATATAATATATTTTGATCATATTCACACCATTACCCCATGCTATCTCTCTCTCACCGATCCCCTCCTCTTCGCCCTGAGTCCCTCCTTTACCTGGATGTCTTCCACAGTCATCTTACCAGGAGGTACCACTGGGAGAAAGGAGCTCTCCTCTCCCCATCAACCTGCTCTCAGCCTCCACCACCGGGTCCCGATGGGTCCCATCTTACGCAGGTCTTGTGCGGGTAATCGCAGCTACCATAAGTTCAAGCCAGCGATTAGCTTCATCGTGCCTGGAAGTCAGCATTCCATACCGCTTCCCCGTTCCAACGCCTTCCTCTGGCTTTAGCGTTCTTTCATCCCTGCTTCCCTGATGTCCCCTGAGCCTTGGAGGGTGTGATGTAGCCCTTCCCACCTCCGACTGAGCATTCTACAGTCACTTATTCTCAGCACTTAGGACAGCCAGGTCTCTGCAGCGACAGCTGCCCACTGTAGAGAAGAGGTTTCTCTGACCGAGCAGATCGCAACACTAATCTACGTGCACAAACACAGCAGTTTGGTGGGTAGATCGGGTCCATTTAGCAACCTAAGAGCAGCAGTTTCCCTACTGGGGCCCATAACCTCCCTTCTGATCAGACTGACGGTACCAGACGTGAATTCTTTCCTGTCTGGTACCAGATCCCAACAGAAGCGGTTGGACGTTTCCATAGCACACTTCCCACTATGGAACCGTCGAAGACATCTTGTCCGGTCTGGCAGTAGCCAACACAGAGTAAGTGAGGGTGGTACGGCCTTTTTCTGAATATAGTTATAAAGTTTTACCCAAGATCCTGGGGGTAGGGTAAACCTCATAACTTACAATCACACACTCAGTTTCACATTTATGGTGGCCTATACTACACATGGGCCAATGACAAAGCCAGATATATTTTCAAGCCATTTGTACATTAGATCTTTCTCTCTTTCTTTCTTTTCTTCCTTCCTTCCTTCCTCCCTCCCTCCCTCCCTCCCTCCCTCCCTCTCTCTCTCTCTCTCTCTCTCTCTCTCTCTCTTTCTTTCTTTCTTTTCTCTTTCTCTTTCTTTTCTCGAGCAGCGGTATACTTGTTATCTAACCAGAATAAAGAGGTGTAATGAAAGCTGATCTCATTTTCAGCTATATTTAAACGAGATGATATTGATTAGCTCTGTCTTTTTAATTATGGATGTAGATGTAGAATGTAAGAATGATATGTTTATTATCATTTATATATCCTTTAAGCTAACCTGTGAGCTTTCTTACTAAATTTGTCTGTCATGACATTGTTACCGAATACACCGAGACCTCCAGATTTTTCTCCCCTGTATGTGAAGGATATTGGAGGACATATTTCATCAGTTCCTGGAAATGGAAAAGTCAAGTTCACGTGTACTTCCCCATTTTGCTCCAGCAATGAGTTGGCGCCATCTCTGAACAGACTGAGGGCTCTCTTTCCACCTCTGTGTTAGGAAACTTCACGCTGGCCAGGAGTGCTCACACCCCAACAAAGGTTACTGTAAGTGCTTCCTTCTGGATTGCTGACTGTCTCTCAGCCCACCATACCTTTGCATACCTTTGAGGGTTGATGGAAAGCCAGTCCTTCTTAGAAGACATTTGGGGACATAAAGAATTGCGACCTTGATGACTACACCAGCAGACCGCATCCCAACGGAGCAACGGGGGCAATACATGTGCTCCAGGAACAGCTGGGCCCTGGCATGGTAGCGGCAGTGGCTGTGTGTCTGCTTTCCTGGGCCTTTGGTGTAGTTTGAACCCTGAGGAAAAACAGGTCCAAATAGTGAGAAATGGGCTTTCCTTGTTATTCTGCTGCCCCAGAAAGACACTGCCCTGAGGCTCTTTGGAAAGCGAAGATGACAGGTGATGCCTTCCTCACAAAGACATGTTTCTAGATAACAATCCTCATGACTGGGCTATACATGTGTTGTCCAATAGAACTTTCCGACAGTGATGGACATGCTCTGTATCAATGCTGCCAGCAAGATGGGTGCTCCCTGCATACAGCTCCTGAAATGTGATTGGCCTGAATTGAGACGTGTTGCTAGAGTAGACCAGATGCTGGATTTCTAAGACAAAGCACGGAGAAAGGAATTGAAATGCTACATTAATACGTTTATATTGATCACCATCAAAATGGATGTATCGTTAACAAGTAAACTCAGTTTAACTCGTTTCTCATTAATATGTGGAGTGCAGCTATTAAAATCTTTTAAGGGACACACGTGGCACATTCTGAACAGGCTCTAGGGGAAGGGAAGATCCTGGGAACGACAGCAGACAATCTAAGCTAGATCAGCAGACGTCAAGAGACACATTCTGTACTGAAGCCTCCTCTTGTTAGAATGCTCAGAAAACGCCTAGCCAGTGGCCAGCACACTGCGCAGGTGCAGAGCAACACACCCACACATTTGGAACTGTGAACTGACACCCAAACCTTCTTGCTTCAGTAAGTAGGATTTTACCTCGGAGACGGTACTGTGCCTGTCCATGAGGGGTCACAGTCAGGGGTTATGGCCGGGACTACACTCCTGCTTCCAATATCTATGTCCTCTTTCTAACCCCAGGAAGATAAAGAACAATGCTGTGCTTGAGAATGTATATCTGATCACAACCTACTTTGAACCCCAGCACTGTTTTTTTCCTCCAGCTGGAGACTCATAAGGCATAGACCAAGGTTTAAGCACCCAAGTAAGTCAGAAGGATGGCAGAAGCCATAGAAAGATCTAGTCTTCATCATTTTAATCTCAGGCATTCAGATTTCTTAAGGAGGTTAAAAGAAACACAACACAGTAATTTAAAAACACTTGTCGCCGGGCGGC